CAACCCAGAGGTCAGAGGTCAGTGCGAACTTGGAGCTAGTTTGGCTGGGTGCCTCCTGGTCATGCCTATGCGGTTGCTCTTCTTGCTTCTGTCTGAGAACTGGTCTTGGCTGGCTGAGTCCTTGGAGGCCAGGACACACAGGCTTCTTCATTCATTCAATCATCCATCTGTCCCCGTCCCCCCCCACCCCCGGCTCAGCCTGAAGATTTTCCCAATCACAGAGCCCACTGAGGTTTCCTATGCTTCTAGTGGGCTTCTCTCTCCCTTGGCTGCAGCTCTCGGATGTCCCGCTAAGCCCCACAGAAGGAGAGAGTCCCTGGCCAAAGGACAGTCCTCCTCACCGCCTGTGCGGCAGCCCGTAATTACATGCGTATCTCCCGAATCACGCCTTTGTACCCTCTAGGTTTTCACCAGCTGGTTTTTGTTCCTGCTTTCTTTTCCTGTTCTGCAAAGCTGTTTGCAGTGTAATCAATCACCAGTGAGCAGACATCTATAACACAGTCACCAAATCAGTGTAGTGACAATCCCAGCTCCTGCCAGAGGGGGGGTTCACCAGGTTGCTACCACTCCTGAGGCATTTCCTGCCCCCTGCCCCCGGATGTCAGGAGGCCACCTCCTCCTTGGAGGCATTTCCTTTGACGTGACTTCTGGTACACTATACTAGGATGGCATTATCAGGAGGATTAAGCCTTGTCTCATTGCAAACTTTTAAAGACTGGGTCCCGATACCTGGCACCTCCCTGCTGAGGCCGGGCAGCTGGGCCACCTTGGTTTCACAGAGGTCAAAAGTCCCGTGGACTTCAGGTTTGCTTTTGGCAACAGAACGGGGTTTCTCCTAGAGTTCCAGCGCAGAGCTCGACACATGCTGCGTGTCTCTCCTTGAGCTAGGAACGGCTTTGAAGCTGTGCTGACCACTCACCTCTGTCAGAGCTTGTCGCTGATGTCATTGGGGTGAGAGCCATTCACGCCATCTCACTCCGTCTGTGGGAAAGCCAGGACCCCAGTGTCTCTTTGCTCCTTCTTTGCCCTTCTTGGCTGCGTTTCACGGGTCTCTCCTGATGGCTTAAGGCCAGTCCTTTGGTCTGGGAGGGTAAGTCACATAAGTGCTCATAGACTGCATGGTGGCCGGCCTCCACCCCTGGTTATGGCACTTGAGTTTCTGTCAACTATAACATAGACAGGAATGGTCAGTGGGCACTTGGGGGAAGGGCTCCTGGGTCCATTTCTAGGGAAAGCCAACAAGCCAGCTGAGTTGGTGTAATCTATGCTGTGTCATTCATTGGCTTGATCTTGGGCCCCTCCCCTCTGCCTCCATTTACTCAGCTGTAAATAGTGAATAGAGTTATCCTGCAGGGCTATGGTGAGATACAGTGGAAAGCTACTTAGAAAGTCCCAAACACAAAGTGATATGAAACAGCAGGCGATTTCTAACCTGAATTCCAAAGCGGGACTCTGAGGTCAGAGGTCAGTGCAGCCGGGGCTCTTTGGGTTGAAGGCTCCTTGGGCCCTTTGGGGTATCTCTGTGAGCCTGACACACTGCTTCTGTGTGCGGCCGGGTCAGTCCTCGGAGGTCAGGACACAGGGCTTCCTGTGGATTCGTCCCCTCTGATTCAGACCGGTGGATTGCCAATCCACAGAACCCACGGAGGTTTCTTGAGCCTGACCCTCTGTCCCCTTGCCTTTCCAGTGGGCGTCTCTCTCCATCAGCTTCAGCTTCCTGATGTCTAGCGAAGCCCTAACCATAGTTCCTGATCAAAAAGGCCCGAAGCAGGCACCCTACGAAGGCATTTATCACCCAAGAGTTTGACCCCTCTGTTGCCTTTCGTGCTAAATCACCAGTGGGCCCAGAGCCAACTCTGTACATTTTTCAGAATAGAAGGTGGTTTGGGGATTCTTTTTGAGGGCTCAGCCTACCTAGCAGGCTATGGCTGAGAGGTGCAGGCTCTTGCCTTGGTGGGGGCCAGAATAACAACGGGAATGCCATCTGTCACCACCATTCGTAAGGTCTCCAGCAATCATCCTTCCTTTTACTCTTTATAAACACCCCCTCCTTTTTGGTGTGTTCGAATGTGTATGTGTGTGTACACTTTCACTTGTGTAAGGAAGCCATACCTGTGTAGGTCAGGCCTTGCCCTCCAACTATTTTTTCAAGGTCTCTTGGTTGTTCGCTACACTTCGTGCCAGGCTATCTGTTCTCCTAGCTTCTGGGGATCCCCCTGCCTCTGTCCTTTATCTTGTCTTCTCGGTGCCTTGACTACAGACATACACTACCACACCCAGCTTTATATGCACAGTAGGGATTTGAACCCTGGTCTTCATGCTTGCACAGCAAGCTCTTTAGCCACCGCGGCATGTCCTTCGTTCCCTTTTGTCCTTTAAGGAAATGTTACTAAGGTTTCTGACTGAAGTAGGATAAGCTTCCATCCTGCCCTCTGGCGAGGAGAGCGGAGCAGTCAGGCTGTGCACAGGAAGTGTGCCTTGAAAGCCATGATGGGACGGTAGATCTTCAGGGGAGCTGTCGCAGCAGAGAGTGGGGCAGGGACGGGGACACTACCTCCCCTTGTCAGAGCGCACGCTGGTGTGTGCTTCTGGCACAGAATCGGTCTCAGCAGCTGTGGCGGGAACTGTCGGTCGCCACCTGGGTCTACTCCTTTCTCCTGAGACAGAACTCCAGCCTTACTTAGGGCCACTGGGAACCCTGGTTTCCACTGGAGCCAGGCAGAGCCCTGAGAGGAGGCTCTGGCCAAGTATAGGTAGCGAGGCTATTGTGTGGCACAGCAGGGCAGGGTGCAGTGACTCCGTGGAGGACATTTGTCATGCCTCTGGACTCTAATGGAGAGGTGCAGCTTATCACTCTAGAAGCTATCTTGACTCCAGTGTGAGTCTCAGGATGGGATGTGCTGGGATGGTTAGAGGAAGTATGGATCTTGGCTTTTTTAATTTTTAAAATCTTTTCGAATTGTAGAGTCACATAGTTTATAAGAACCAGTACAGTTATGTGAAGTACCATTGAGAGGGTTTCATCTCCCAAAACTACAGCAGTTGCCACAGCCAGCATTTTCACTTTGATATGTTTAAGGTCTCTTGTGTTGGGCTAGAGAGATGGCTCAGTGGTTAAGAATACTAACTGTTGTTCTAGAGGATCTGGACTCAACTCCCAGCACCCACATGGTGATTACAACCTTCTGTAACTCCAATTCCAGGGCATCTGGTGTCCTATCCCCGCAGGAGGTGCACTAAAACAAGCACATAATTTTTTAACTGAAAAAGAAAAATCACTCTGTTGTGTTTTCATTGCCATACCCATTTCCCTCTGGCCCCTACAGCCTCCTTGACCTCTAGAAGCCCTCCTAAGGCCAGAATCTTGATAACAGTGGCACGCCATCCCAGACCTAGATCACCCATGGAAACACAAACATCTATATTAGTTAAATCATGTCATTTAAAAAACGTCATATTGCCAAACCCCACCCTGCATGAAGACAGGAGAAGTTCAGAAAAGGAGGCCAGAGGATGGTTTCTACCTCCAAGCACGGGAAGGACTTGTGGGGGTGTCTTCAAAGAGGCCGGTACCTCAGCTAAACCCAAAAGGATGGAGGCTGTTGCTTTCACAGACACTCAGTCGCGCTCGTGACTAGTAGGACTGCGGCTTTCTTGAGGCGCTTCTGCTTTCATTCCTTATCTCACCGAGGGATCATGTATAACTATGTGAAGCAATTCTGGCTGCTACAAATGTTTGCAGGCACTGGGGGTACCCCATCGTGTGTGTGTGTGGTTCATGGAAGTGACAGACCTTCTTAGGGGACATTTTTGCTTGGTTTTAAAAGGTAGATAATAGTTTGTGAATTCTTTGCGGGTTTCATACATATTCACTGTCACTTATCCCTCAACTCCTCCCAGCTCCATCCCAGTCTCCTACCTCCTCCTGTCCTTTTTTTTTATTTGTAACCCATGAAGTCTAATTTTTGCTGTTCCTACACTCATGTGTGTGGTGACATCCATTGGAGTGCGGTTTACCTACCGGGGGCTGTGCCCTTAAAGGAAACTGACTGACTTTCCCTTCTCCAGAAGCCCTAAATGCTAATAACTCCTCAGTCAGAGCCCCCTTCCGACCCTGGGCTGCAGGGTTGGCTGGCTTGCTCTTGCGCAGGTCCTGCAGCAGCAACCACAGCTGCTGTGAGCTCACAGAGTCCAGAAGATGCCGTTCTTCAGGCCCTCCTTTACCTGTGGCTCTTGCCCTCCTTCCAGTTCCTCTCCCTCAGTGGTCCCGAGCCTAAGGGAGGGTGTGATGGGCATGTTCCGTCTGTGGCTGATCCCCCCATAAAAACTTATTCTCTTTGCTCTGGCCAGTTGTGCGCTTCCTTGTTAACTGCCAAGCGCTGATCAGGGAAGCTTCTCAGATGCGGTCTCAGAGCTGCACTACGGTATAACGATGTGAATTTCGGGGGAGTTTGATACTAGGTACACTTAGCAGTATAACAGTAGTAGGTTCGCCCTGGGCCTGTGAGCTCCTCAGCCGTGACTTCTTGGCCAGATTCACAGGGCCAAGCATGTGTTTCCTCCCATAAAGAGGACCTTAAAGCCAAATAGAGATCAGTTACGCCCGTAACACTTGTGCCACCTTGCACCCATGGGCATATCTTGCCATGCCGGCTTTTATTGTGGCTTAGAGGATGCACAGTTGGATAAGAATGCTGATGACTGTAGCCTAAGCTGCCGTTGAACTCGAGTCAGTCCTCCTGCCTTGGCCTCCTGAGCACTGGGATTTCAGGTATATGCCAGCCACCACGCCTGGCTCTCTTAGAGATTTTAGTTCTGATTCTCAGCAAGACATTAGTGGTGGTGGGGAATATAACTGGACATTCAGATATGCTCTCCGATGGCAGAAATGTGCATGCCTGCTAGGACACTGCAGAGGGTTTTTTTTTTTTTTTTTTTTTTTTTTTTTTTTTTGGGGGGGGTGTTTCAGCTGCCTTCTCACACTGTGCTTCCCTTTCCAGGGGCTGGTGTCAGAGAGGATGTGTTTCTCATTTGGAGGGAAATGGAAGAAGCCTGCAGCTTACTGGCTCAGTTCCGAAAGCTGGTGGACAAGTCTACATCTCAGTTGAAAGGGGCCCCAACATACTGCAGTAGGTGCTGTTTATATGTTAAAGTCTGTAGTGCAAACGAGTCAGGGGTATTGGTGGCTGGGGATGGGGGGGTGGAGTTCCATGCTTCTAAGTGGAAGAACTCCTTAGCTCCGCTCTGAGGTGGGAGAATCTCTTTCTCTATCCCTTCCTCTCCCTTCCTCTCTCTCTCTCTCTCTCTCTCTCTCTCTCTCTCTCTCTGTGTGTGTGTGTGTGTGTGTGTGTGTGTGCGTGCGTGCGTGTGCGCACGCATGTACCCATTCCCAAAGAAGAACCAGAGCCGGACAGTATTTGAAGCTATAAAGGCAGATTTTTCTGCCTATAGCAAGAGGAAGAACCAAGACTTGATACAGAGCCAGGCTCAGTTCTGAACACAGCACAGACATCTACACTGTTGGGTAGAGGGCGTCTGTGAACGGAAAATTCCTGAGAGGGGGATATGATGACTAAGGAGGCTTCTGTCCAGACAGACACAACAGGATTCTTGCTGAAGGCTGGACCAGATATGCCCAGGGGTGATGAGCATGAGAAATGCCATTGAGATATTGAATTTGCTCATTTATCCATTGGGGGGTATTCTGGTTGTAGCATTTTATTTGTGCTAGGTATGCAGAGCTGAACATGGAAGTCCAAAAACTAAGGCTATTTGAAAAGAAGATGCAGAGAAGCCCAACTCTTAGTGTGTGTCAAGCTTAGTCAAGGGGGAAATCTTCCAAGAGGAATATAGGTTTTTATTTTGTTTCATTTTGTTTTTGAGACAGTGTCTTTCTACACAGCCCTGGCTGCTCTGGAACCCATTATATAGACCAGGCTGGCTTCGAACTCACAGAGATCTGCTTGACTCTGCCTCCCAAGTGCACCTCTACTCCAGAGACTCATGTGTTATTTTTACAGGGACCATGAGAGAAGGTAGGGATGGGTCAGCTAGACCTAGCCTTGCTTGCAGACTGAATCATACCCAAACTGACTGTGGCTGTCCACTCACCCTCATGTAGCTGCAAGGAAGGCTGCCTTCACTGCAGTTCTCACTAAAGGCCACTGCTCTTCTCTGAGACTCGGAAACTTCACTGTTGAAGGCATACACAGGCCAGGCAAGAAGCCTAGGAGATGTGTTTGCAGGGGATAGGGTTTGTGCTATCAGCATTAAAAAAAATTACAAAAATGTACTTGCATTTCTCTCTTTAGAGACCTTTTATGCTCTGACAGCTATGACAGCTGTTCCCTTAGTTTATAGGGATAGGGTTAACTCAAAGGCAGCTGCCTTGCTGAAGGCTCACACCAACTATGGGTGACAGTTCATCAAAGCTGGAACCCCAAGCTCTCTACTCAACTTGCAGGCAGCTCTTCCAGTCTGAGAACCTCCTCCAGACAGCTTGGTTGAGCTGAGGTTCTCCTCAGCAGGCCTTGTGGTTATGGGATTTTATAGCCTTGGGGATGAAGAGACCTTGTGTACCTGGTAAGTTTTAGGGCCTTCCTGAGACTTATGAGTTGTTTGCTTTCCCAGTCTTAAAGGCCCTCATCCCTTTAGAATTCCCCCAGTCTTAAGGATCGTTCCCTGGCACAGCATGCTTCAGTCTGGAGGAAACTGCCACACTTCAACGGCAGTGACAGCAGATGTCTAGTGAGCATCCAGTGTGTGCTAGGTGCTGCCCCAACGGGCTGTGCTTGTTCTTGGGTTACTTCATCTTTAAAAGAAAAACCTCTAGATGAATTACTGTTCTTGTCTTCATTTGGTAGGCAATGAGGCACAGAGGGTTACATACATGGCCAGTGATCACACAGCCAGCCGAGCGGGGTCTTTCCAGCCCTATTAAATTAGCAGCAGTGCTGTGCCCACCTGGAGCATGGCTGCCCAGTTACCACCAGACCTGTCCTAGTCCGAAATGATGAGAAGGCTGGCTGGTGCCTACAGAGAAGCAAGCTCAGTGAAGAACAAGGAAATGACAAGAACTATTTTTTCCTCTTTCTTCTTATATCCGAAGCATTGTTTGTAATGAAAGGCTGATGTTTTGTGGAAAGAAAGACCTACTTAAAAATCCTTTCCAGGTTAGCCTGGGTCATTTTCTTTCAGCCTTAGTTTGTTCTTCTGTAAAATGAATAGACTATCAGTCTGGGAGATTATTGCAGACATTAAGTAAAAGGATGAATGATCAACACCAAGCAAGTCCTCACTTTCTCCTTTGACCTGAAGGGAACTGGTGCATCGATCCTCTGAATTCTTAAGTCAGCAGAGGATCTGCTTCCTTCTAGGATGAAGTAATAACAGTAGCTAGCCCCATGAGTCAGGCACCATTGCGGGCTCCATACGAGAATCTCCCTCTCCAGCTGCTCCCACAGGCTTCCGAGAGGTTCCGCAACATTGCCTTGGGTTAAGTGACTTGCCCAAGGTGACGTTTCTGGTAAGTGACAAAGCCTGGATCAGGAGCTATCCATCTTTTTGAGGTCCATATCCTCCTGCCACACATGATTTGGTCCACACACAATGGCGCTGGAGCAGGCTTTGAAATCCCTGAATGCTACAGTGTCTTCCTATATTTTCCCTGTCATAGAGCCATCGTGAACACTTAAAAAAATGCTGTATACACGCACACACCACAATTAAAACAAAAAGAGAATGAGCTGTGGGTCTAAAAGTTGATAATGGTCTATAATACCCTTTATTTCAATCTAACATATTCATATCCCCCAAAGAAAGTAACTCCAAGCAGCATTTTTAAAAAATGCTCCGGATGTACTATTTATATTTTAAAGGGAAAGTTTGATCAAGACTGTTCCTCCACTGGGTAGTCACCCAAGCCTTTACCATAATTTGACTCCAGCATCTACACGGAGAACATCCAGCTACCCATCTCCTCAGGCGGTGCTCAGTGAGGGGCGAAGACCCTGCGTCTGCTCTGAAGGAAGGCAGCAACTGTTCCCGCAGCTTGTCTGCGCAAGGCCTGAAGGCTGAAGGCGATGGTGGGGAGGGTGCATGGGAAAGGGGAAGGCTGAAGGCTAGACCTGTCACTTGGGTAGGCTGCAGCCGAACTAGACAGAGGGCGTCTGTTAGCTGTCCTCATATCCCTGTCACTGAGTCGCTCCCACACCCACCCCCGTGGCTGGCCGGTGATCAGGGATCCATCGGCACATGTAATCATGGGGCGGGGTAGTGACACTGTCTGCCAGAGATGACAAATTAGCCTGATGCCTGGGGCAAGAAGGCAGTAAAGCTCACGTTGGGAATTAACTTGTTTTAATCCCAAGAGCAGGACATAAAATTCCCTTAAGGAAAAAAAACATCACTGACCTCCCTGATACATACAAAACAGGGTAAAGACAGTAGACACCAACCAACAAGCCACAGGGCAGAAAGGGGGCATGCCATTGCTCTCCCTGGTTGATTGCCCTGCGGGCCATGGGGCATGGAGGAAGAAGCCAAGGGGAGCTTGTCAAAACGTGCTAAATTTGGGGAGACAGAGCCAAGAACGGGGCGGCTGCGGCTCACAGCGCAGCATGCCAGAATGGGAAGAATGAGCCGAAATGACAAGCACAGGGCCATCCCTGAGAATTTATCTGACTACTGAGCAGTTCACACAGGTAGGAAAGCTGTCAGGCAGGTGGGGCCTACAGGAAGGAATCAGAGGAACAAAAGAAAATGCTCACACAGCCTCGGGAAGAAGAGTCAGAGAAATCTGTAACTTACGGGGTTGTTGAGACTACCTGGGAAGGTCTTAAACTCAGTGGTGAGGAAGGATGAGGCCCATGCAGAGGGTCAAAGTGAGACATGGAAAAAACCAAACTGTTTCCAGGTAACACAACTCTATCTCACAACAGAGCTCAAAGAGAACCACACAGCACAGTACGCACCGAGGTAGGATCTGCAGTGCTCAACATTCAGTCAAAGATTATAATGCACGAAAAGGAACAAGAAAAGGTGACCTTTAATGAGAAGGAAAACAAACAAACAAAAACTCCCCCCAAAAAACAGTCAGCCAAAATGGACAGGGAGAGGAAGGATGTCAGGGCGACCCAGAGAGATGGTCCCCTGTGCTCCTTACTTTGTTGTCAACTTGATACAACTTGGAAACACCGGGGGAGAGGGAACTTAAAAGACACACACGCCATCAGACTGGGAGTGGGGACATTTTCTTAACTGATAAACAAGGTCCAGCTTCCCGTGGACAGTGCTTTCCCTAAGCAGGTGGACCTGGGCTGTGTAGGAAAGCTAGCCCAGCAAGTAGAGTGAGCCAGGAAGTGGCACTGCTCTGTGGCTGCTGCTTCAGCTCCTGCCTCCAGGCTCCAGCCTGGAGCTCCTGTCCCACCTTCCATTGAAAATGGACCATGGTGTAGAAATAGATAGGCCAAGTAAATGCTTTCCCGCTCCCGAGTTGCTTTGGCCAACGTTTTATCGCAGCAATAGCAAAGAAAAACTAGGCCACACAGCCTTGATCAGTGTTCTTCGCTTCTCAGCCTCCCCAGTTGGTGGAGGGAGAAAGAACGAAGCCGAGGCCTTAGACCTGAAACCCGGTAGCAGATCTGCCCTGGAGAAAGCGTGTTGGGCTAGCTTTGGGAGACCGACCGCTGGGCCACCACCTGTAGAACGGGCACCTGGAACTGTGTTGGGCCAGGTGCCTGACTGCTTCCATCACTCCCACCTTAATCCCAGCTGCAGAGCAAGGGGTAAGGCTTAGCTTGCCATGGGGAAGGACCAGGTATAGTGAGAATTCCAAAATTTTGGTTTCTTAAAAAAAGAAAAAACAAAACCACTGAACTATTCTAGGAATATGTTTTCATTTTAATCCTAGGTGTGGGGATACGGGGCTGCTTTACAACAGCTGACTCTGATTTGCCTTGTGCTCCAGCAGAGGCGTGGTTTTGCCAGCTGCAGATAGTTTCTGCAATTGCGTGATGTTTGGAATTCTGGGAACTTTTCAGAGGGTGTATAAATACTAGGGCCCCAATTGATGGGCAGTCGGCGGTTGCTGGTTGTTTAGGGGGGTTGGTTTTGGTTTGTTGATACTCAT